TTCACAGGGCTCAGGCAGACAGAGAATAACGGTGCGGGTTCAACAGTATAACTGGCTCTACTCACAGAATCCAGATGAACAGAGAGGAATAAGGGTTCAACAGCAAAGCTGGCTCTCTTCACGGGGCTCAGGCAGACAGAGAATACAGGTGAGAATTCAACAGTGTAGCTGGTTCTACTCACAGGATCAAGCAGCACATGGAGGAGTAAGGATTCAACAGCGAAGCTGGCTCTCTTCACAGGGCTCAGGCAGACAGAGAATAACGGTGCGGGTTCAACAGTATAACTGGCTCTACTCACAGAATCCAGATGAACAGAGAGGAATAAGTGTTCAACAGCAAAGCTGGCTCTCTTCACAGGGCTCAGGCAGACAGAGAGGATTATGATGACGATTCCACAGTACAACTGGCTCTCTTCACAGGGCTCAGGCAGACAGAGAATAACGGTGCGGGTTCAACAGTGTAACTGGTTCTACTCACAGAATCCAGATGAACAGAGAGGAATAAGGGTTCAACAGCAAAGCTGGCTCTCTTCACGGGGCTCAGGCAGACAGAGAATACAGGTGAGAATTCAACAGTGTAGCTGGTTCTACTCACAGGATCAAGCAGCACATGGAGGAGTAAGGATTCAACAGCGAAGCTGGCTCTCTTCACATGGCTCAGGCAGACAGAGGGTACATGTGATAATTCAACAGTGTAACTGGTTCTACTCACAGGATCCAGATGAACAGAGAGGAATAAGTGTTCAACAGCAAAGCTGGCTCTCTTCACGGGGCTCAGGCAGACAGAGAATACAGGTGAGAATTCAACAGTGTAGCTGGTTCTACTCACAGGATCAAGCAGCACATGGAGGAGTGAGGATTCAACAGCAAGCTGAACTTCACAAGCCTACGTAGAGATTAAAGAGGAGAAGAGAAGAATTTCTCCACTAGATGACTTCCTCCATCCAACGAGATGCGGGCGATATATCTACAGCCAGAACCGTTTCCCCGATGTCACTGCATTACACTTCCACTCGTGTTTAACTGCAATTCACACAAATCGGCACACGTGATTTAATGAACAACACTGCAAAGTCTTGTCACTCACAAACTAGGGCGTAGACAGGGGATCTGGTCCACTGCACAGCACTACAATCTCTTGGACTTCTTCCAATAAAGCGTGGGACATTCAAACTTTCTCCAAAACGACAGATTTACACCTCATGAAGTCTCATCACATCCTCCAAACAGATTTCTCGTATCACAGTCCAAACATCAACAGCACTTATCTCTTATCCACATCTCCAAATCCACCCGAACGTCACACACAGCCGTTCATCTCTCCTGCCCCTCCTTTGTTGAAGATGAAATGCCCTTTTATCCTTCCCAACTGACAACGTGTCCCAATCGCGATCGCGATAGTCCTGCCCCGCACCTGTTTTGAATTAACTAATCATTCTCCGTCTCCGCTCGGAGTTTTCCGGCGCTAGAGTCTTCCGGGTCCCACACCGGAAATCCCCCCCCACAGAAACCCGGCTATGATAAAAGGTTCCGCCTGCCTTTTTGTCACCCCGGTGACAATTACACGCAGCGTCTCGTTCCCTTCAGGGAACTAAGGTTACATACGTAACCAGAGACGTTATTGTATCTATAGGCTACTTCATTATACTGCAAATCTACAGTTGTACTGCAGTTTTACTTCACTATTCTGAAGTTGTACTTTTTGTACTGCAGTATTACTGCAGCTGCACTTCAATGTACTGTAGTCACATTGTATCTATACTGCAGTTATACTTCGTTAATACTGCAAATCTACAGTTGTACTGCAGTTTTACTTCACTATTCTGAAGTTGTACTTTTTGTACTGTGGTTTTACTGCAGTTGCACTTCAATGTACTGCAGTCACATTGTATACTGCAGTTATACTGCAAATCTACAGTTGTACTTCATTGTACTGCAGTTATACTGCTTTGAACTGCAGTTTTACTGCAGTTGTACTTCATTGTACTGCAGTTATTTTTCGTAAGGGTTGTGCACAACGCCCATACATTTGATTCTCTTATCAACACAGATGCAGCTGTTTTTATTTTTGAAAATCATACATTATAACAAGGAAAAATATTAACACTTCAAGCTTACACATTTGGCTACCCAAATTTTTCAGGCTAATTGTAGTAATGACGGATCAGACCTGTTTGGCCAATAGTGGCAAGACACATATGTATAAGGACATAACTTACCCCCATACAACGTCAATTCTCTGTCTTTTACAGCCATGACAAGAACGTCGGTCTCCTCGGCTGTGAATGCTCCTGGCGCGCTCTTATTATCATATTATTATTATAATAATAATAATAACAACAATCCACCATATTTCGGTTCGACATCCTGCTGCATTAGTCCCAGATAGGTGATGAACGAACTGTTCATTGCGTATGCCACGTGACAAATGGACGTAAGACTCGGAAGGTAAAGTAATTATTTATGTTCCCTGTAAATCATTTTTTACTGCATTATGATTTCTTAATTCAGAATATGATCAACATTGCGTTGGTGGATGTGATCGGGGAATTTGGCTGTTAAAATTATAACATTTAATGCCACTTAAATAAACGAAATGACTCAAAAGAATCAGAGAGTCAGTAAAATGAACTTCCTATTTCCCAGTCATGACTTGAGAGAACAGGGCGCGCCAACGCTGCGGGGCGGCCGCAACTCAGGTAATAAATAACCTAGTTTGTGAATTGTTCATTCCCGGTTGGCACACATTTTGCAGCCCTTACAAAAGCACTGCTCCCTGTTTACAGTGGAAGTTTGATCATAGATTTGAGTTTGATGCATGATGCCTGTGGTTCACATAACATGTTTCGGCGCACAACATACGTCATCTTATAAACTTATCAATAAACAATAAACTTATCTGATTGGCTTACGGTAACCAATGATTTTAAACTTCAGACAAGCGCCCCCTTGCGAGAGAGAAAACACGTCTCATTCAAGACTCTGTCTACGAAGCAAAGTAAAGTAGTAGAGTCTGGTATTACCAGGCTAGACTTTATCACCAGTGATCACAAAAAATGTAAACACTTCTTCACAGTTGAATAGATTAACCTACGTATTACTGCAGATAAACATTAAACAAATCAAACACATAATACCTTGTTTCCGTTCCAACTAGGTGCTAAATTTTCCTTAATAACCTTTTATACAATTTCAGAGTGACGTGATTTTCCTCCTTACTTCCGTGCGTGCTTCTCACTAACTAGTCCCCCCTTTTAGACGCAAAATTAACGTTCCACTGTGGAGGCCAGAATAAAGAACTTTAATATTAACAGAGGAAACTAATAAAATAAAGCTCTAAAGTGTTTATTTACACTTTCCTTATAGTTAGTTACAGAGAGTAGGACATAGGGATGCTCACAAGCAATAAGCATGTCCCAGCCAGGTTCGTCACTTATTGGAGTCACCTGGAAATGTTTCCATTGTGGTCTGTGCTATTTGCAGCGCGTTTCTGTATTTGGTTGTGTTGTGAGCTTTTGCGGCGCATTTCTATTTTTCCCTTTTCTAATTATTTTTAATAATTCTTATTGATTCGGTACTACGACTTGTATCCTCACTGACGCTGATTGTGCGTGAGTCTCTGACTTTTCTGTCTCTTTCCATTGGTGCGGCATGCAACACGACATCACCAATTGCACTGCTGGATGTGTTTAAAGTCAAGTTGTTTGAGAGGGGCACCTTGGTGCAGATGAACAGAAGGGCCAGGGGCCACTGCTGTCAAGTGTTTGGGGACGACAGAAAGACCACAACGCTGGCTCCAACCAGAATGACCTCATTTCACCCCAGGCAAACTAGAATAAGGTAAAAACCCAGCCACTTAGTATAGGCCACAGAATTTAGATATTACCCCGGTCATTTAAGTGTTTGACCCCCTCTTTTCCAAGCCACAAACTGCAGGCTCTGGCCTCCTTATCCCTTGTACACTTCCTGTGTCACTATTTACGCCATTTCATTACAGAACTTTTAATTCTTATTGTTGCATGATAAATCAAACTTTGCTATCTTGCCATTTCTCTTTTCTGTTGTGATCTGTTCCTTTTAGTTCACCTAGAGACAGAACCTACCAGAGACACTCATTAACTGCAGAACGAACTTGCATTGGTCTCTTTGTGTGTGCTGTGTTCCTCTCGCCCACAGTGAGCCAGTGTGTTCCGGTCCTACAGTCCCACAACCTGCTGAGACAACCTCGAGACATGACTCAGAGCCCCTGAGCCAAGAGCAGCTGGACACCGACTTGGATAAGCTGATGGCTCACGAACCGAGCCAGAGCTACAACGACAAACACTGGGCCCGAATCGTTGGAAACCTCGCTCACAAGCTCATTGCACAAGCACGCCTCCACGAAAGGAGTCGCATGGGCCTAGTCAAGTCAAGTCACATTTATTTATATAGCGCTTTTCACAATACAGATTGTATCAAAGCAGCTTCACACTGATAACATGAAAGTAGCATAACACAGGATCAACAACATTGCTAAACACTAAATAATCCCAACTGAGCAAGCCCAAAGCAAGCCAAAACAAGCGCCCCGAGATAACAGCAGAAAGGCAGATGGGAAATAATTAGCATAGCTGATGTTCATAATGATTTCCGTTATATGGGAGTCGGTGTTAGAAAACCACTATCTCACAAACTCTCCGTAACCTGAACTCTCCGCAACCCAACCATACGCGCCGACCCGTTTGTATGAAAGGCTGTCGAGCCCCACTGGTGCGTTAAGCAGTTTCAGTGGCAAACGGTTCCGTATGGCATAACAGAGCATGAATTAGCAATGCAAAAGATGCAAGCTGAGGTGGCCCAGATCCAGAGTCATCTAAATCAACTACTCCTCGAAACCGAGGAAGAGGATGACACAGACCCCGAGCTACAGAAGGAAGTGGAAAGACTTCAAACTGCCCTGTCTGATCTTCGTCTGCACACAGACTGAAAAGAGCAGACAGAGAAAGAAACCAGAGAGGAACTCAATGTTAAGTTGAATTTGAGAGAAAGAAAAAAAAAAAGGAAAAAAAAAGAGACATGGTTAAAAAGTATAAATTCATCATTGGTAAAGAAGATTTAAGATCAAAATGAGTGCAGCCTATTGGTTGGGAGCACATGGTGCAACCTGGGAGAATCAAGGTAGCTGATTGGTCATTGAAACTCCACATCTCCAAACTCCACCAGGTGTGTGTGATTACTGGGAGCAAGAGGGAACTTTGTTTGCAGCAAATGTGCTTCTCCTACTGAAGTTGGTGGGTTTGGTGTTCAAAATACCAAAGGAGAAAGACTGTTGAAAAGCCACAATGTTTCATCAACTTTGAGATGCAACTGGTAGGACAAAGACTTATTTTTATTTAATGACTACATATTTTGTGTATGTTTGAAAGGTGTTTAATGCTAGTAGTTTAGCATTTTACTTTCTAACTGCATAACAAGCTTCTTTATTTACATTGCTGTTGAGTTGCTGTGTAAATTGTGAATGTTTGACAATGGTGTTTGTACTTTTGTTGCACTTTGTAGTGACTCGTATCACATATCTGTTTCTGTGTAGGTTATTAAGCTAACCTTCTGGAATTATCATTGAGACAAGTACAAAAGAAGATCTAGTCAATGATGAGAGATTTTCAATAAACTGCTTCTATGATGAAGAACCAGATGGTTTGAGTTATTCCATGCACCTTCAGAGTTGATTGAGGCCTTTTTCAAGTTTGGGCAGACATTGAGGCAAAGAAAAACCCAGATAACTTGACACTTAATAACCACCTTTCAGAAGAAGATCAAAGGCTTCTGATGGTCCAGAAAGTAAAGGTGGTGTGAAGGAATCAACATTGTCAAAATAAGTCATCAGTAAATTGAGGTGTTTAAGAAGACGTATCTTTGTGACTTGAAACAAGATGGCAGAAGAAGCTTTGGGGAAAACAGTGGACCAACTAAAGAGAGAGAGAACCACTGCAAAGATGTGTGTTACAAAGCAAGCCAATCTTCTCATTCGAGAGTCAAGCCAAATGATTGAGTCTGAACTCAGGAAGGAATTCCAGAAACTCTCTTCTAGTGCAAGAGCACTTTTTGATGCAAATGATGACTATAACATGGGATTGCTGGCAGAGCTGGAAGCTAAAGCAAAGAGTGATGAGAAAGTGGAGCTTGAAATGCAGCAGGTAGCAGATATTGAGAAGACTGTTAATGATTGTGAGACAAAGCTCGAAGAGGTGCGAAAAATCGTCCAAATCAACTTGTGGCAGAGGTATGGCCAAGAGGAATTGACTGTTGCAGTCCAGGAAGCTGAGAAAGCTTGTGATCATTCTGCTTCAATACCTGTTGCTGGTGTCAATTGTGAAGGATATGAAGTTCATCTAATTCACATGGAAAAGCTTGTGAGTAGAGCAGTCAAAACACTATCCAGCTGGGAGCGATGGATTCCTACAGGAGAGAAGAAGGACTTTGAGAGCAGAGTAAAGAGGTTAAAAGTAGAGAATAATGGACTTGTTTCAAGAAATAGCGAGTTTATTACTGCACGTAATGCTGAAAGAAGTTCTCAATTTGCAGGTCCTTTAGACCCAAACACGGGTCTTCAAACAGTGCCAATTACACCAGTTGTGAGGATAAGACCAACAAGTTTGCCTAGATTTGGTGGTATGAAAAGAGATTTCTTCCGTTGGAAGAAGGACTGGGAAAGTTTGCAAAAACAAGGTGAACCAACTGGATCAGTAGAGGTCAAGAAAATCCAGCTCCTGGACAGTTTGGATGAAAGAATCGTTAAGGACCTAAGGCTGTCAAGTTACAGCAACGGAGAGGATGTGTTTCGAGTGCTGGAAAATCGATTTGGCAACAAGGTAACAATTGCCATGGAAATTATTGAAGAACTGGAGAGATTTCCGAGTGTGAAGGGCAATCAACCCAGAAAAGTGATAGACTTGATCCAGACTGTAGAAAAAGCTCTATCTGACCTGACAGATCTGGGGAACATTGGTGCAATTAAGAACCCTCTTGTAATCAAGTCTATTGAGAGTAAACTGCCTGAATTTGTAAAAAGAGACTGGCTTTTCTTCATGATTGACCCTAACAATGGTGTGACTCCAGAAAATCACTTTGACCTCCTGTTGGAGTTTTTAAGAAGACAGGAAGATGTTCTTGAGAAACTTGAACAGCTCAGAGTCACAGAAAAGGTAGATAAATCTGAAAATAGATTTGAAAGGAGGTATGCATCTACAAAATCCACGAAGAAAGAGTCTGATGGTGGGTGTACTGTGTGTGGAGCTGTAAATCATAAAGACAAAATTTTCTTCTGTAAAAAATTTAAGGAGCTAAAGCTAGCTGAAAAGAAAGCTGCTCTGAAGAAGATTGGAGCATGTAAGAAGTGCCTTGGATGTCATGAAGGTAACGCAGACTGTAGAGACACATTCTTGTGTAAAAATAGAGATTGCAGAAGAGAAAATGCCCCAGATCATCATTATTTCATCTGTCCAAGAAGAGAATCCACCACTGGCACTGAGAAAAGGTTTTTAAATGATAGCAGGAAAGTAAATGTGCTTACAGCGGAGCAGGAGGAACTTTTAGCTGAACTTTCCCCAGAGCTTGCTGAGCGGTGCAGAAATGCCTTCACCAACAAAGCTGCAACAGTGACCCGCACAGGAAAAACCCAAGTTGGCCTTCTAGAGGAAAGTGGGGTACAAGAACTACCTGTCATCATGATGCTCATGGAAGTAACCGCCAATGCGGGGCAGAGGGTTGGAACTTTGGTAGATCTTGCATCAGATACTAACTATATAACCCACAAGGCTGCAGGACGCTTGAGGTTAAGGAGCGAAGATGTCACACTGATTGTGCATGGAGTTGCTGGAATGGCCATCAAGGTGAAGACCAAGCGATATCTACTTCGAGTCAGAATAAAGACTGAAGAGGACAAAGAAAGAGCACATGAGCTTCTTTGTTACGGCTTGGATGAAATTGCTAAAGTGCACAAGGTCATAAAACCTAAGCAATTGCAGAGATTCTTTCCTGAAGTCAAGCTTGAAGAGTTGGTAAGACCTAAAGAGATTGAACTTCTTATTAGCCATCGAGAAGGGAGATTAGCCCCACAACGAGTTAAGGTTGTGGGGGATCTTGTCTTATGGGACAGTCCTTTGGGAAAAACAGTAGGTGGCGCTCATCCAGACTTATTTGAAGAGATTAACCTATCTGCATATGAGTCCAAAACCCATTTTGCTCGCTCCATGAGAACAGCCGCTGTAAAATATGAAGAGGAAGTGGGAGGAATTGAAATGCAAGAGATGTCCAAGTCAGTCCAACTACCCCAAGAAACCAGAGCTGAGACAAACATTGCAGCTGTTAGCAACCGTGAGTTCTTGGAATGGTGGAAGTGGGACAGCATAGGGGCAGCTTGTGAACCGATGTGTGGAGCTTGTCGCTGTGGGAACTGTCAGCCAGGTGGTAAGGAGATGACACTGGTAGAGGAGAGAGAACTCGAAATTATAAAAGGGTGTCTTACCTATCTAGAGAATGATGCTCACAGCAAGTCTCCTCATTGGCACGCAAAATATCCCTGGACTGAAAATCCAGCTTCCCTTCCCAATAATAGAAGTGGAGTAGAGGCAACATTTTTGAGAACGGAAAAGCAGCTCAAGAGGGAGCCAGAGTGGAAAGTCGCTTATACAGCTCAAATTCATGAAATGGTGGAACGCGGAGCAGCAATCAAGCTCACTGAAGATGCAATTAATTCCTGGAATGGACCAGTATGGTATGTGAGTCACCTGATTGCACCAAATCCTCACTCCGTTACGACTCCAGTGCGCTTGGTATGGAACAGCAGTCAGAAATTTAGAGGAGTAAGTTTGAATGATCTTCTTCTGAAAGGCCCAGATTTTCTTAATCCAATCAGAGCTGTACTTCTGAGGTTTAGGAGAGGAGTGTATGCTGTCCTTGGAGATATCAGGAAGATGTATAACTCTGTATGGCTGGAGGAGAAAGAAATGCATCTACATAGGTTTCTGTGGAGAGATGATCAGAGTGAAGAAATAGGAGAATATGCAATCACCAGAGTTAACATCGGTGATCGACCGGCAGGGTGCATTGCACAGTTGGCCATGCGTGAAACTGCAAAGCTGACTAAGTTTTCTCATCTACATGAAGAGCGCAAAGTCATCGAAGAGGATAGTTATGTGGATGATATTCTGACTTCCCACAATGATCGGAAACAGCTGGACAAAATAACCGAAGGCGTTGAGGAGATCTTAAGAGCTGGAGGGTTTTTCTTGAAGCACTGGATTCGGTCAGAAGAAAGTTGGAAGCCTGGTGATGGTGAGTCAGTAGAGGCAACAGAAGAAGACAGAATTCTAAAACTTCCAAACCAGCTGAGGGATAAAGACAACAAGGCCCTTGGAGTTGGGTATCTGGCAGAAAAGGATACACTTTACATCATGACATCAATTAACTTTTCCAAGCGAAAGAAGAAAATGAGGATAGGACAAAACCTCCTCAAAGAGGAGGTCAGGACCAAGACTCCTAATCCTCTGACCAGAAGAATGCTACTGAGTCAGGTGGCAGGATTGTATGATCCGATTGGCCTGGTCACACCGGTTAAGCAAAAAGGGGCCATCCTTGTACGAAAGGCATTTCAGGAGGCAGGACGTGGAAAGTTGGCCAAAGATACATGGGATGAACCACTGTCAGAAAACCTCAGAGAAGAAGCTATTGAAGTGTTTGAGGAGTATGTTCACCTAAGCAAGGTAACGTTTCCCAGAGGCATAACACCTAGAGGCTGGAAAGGAAAACCGTTGGGAATAACGTTCTCTGATGGAAGCGATAAGACCTATGGAGCTGTAACATATTTCAGGTGGGAAACAGACCAGGGTATTGAAGTGAGGCTAATTGAGTCCAAGGCCAAATTGACTCCTTTGGATCAAAAAGGGGAAGCAGTCAAGGCTGAGATGTGTGGTGCAGTTTATGCAGCAAGACTTAAGAAATATATTGAGAAACATTGCCAGGTGGAAATTGACCAATGGTTCCATTTGGTGGACAGCCAAACAGTGTTGGGAGCTATTCAACGGGCTAGCTATGGCTACCAGTCCTTCTTTGCCAATAGGATTGGAGAGATCCAGAGAACAACGCTAGTTAAGGATTGGTGGTGGATCCCAGGTGACTTAAACATTGCGGATATTATCACAAGGGGAGGTAGTCCAGAAGGCCTAAAACAAGATTCTGCATGGCAGAGAGGGCCTGTGTTCTTGAAATGGCCAGTGGAGGATTGGCCAATTAAGTCAGCTGCTGAGATTGCAACTGCTGCAAGAGAAGCTATTAACAGACTTCAGAGGAAAGCATTCTCTGCAGTACTAACCAGAACTCTGGCTAAGAAAAAGAAAGGCTCCGTCCTCCTGGAGAAAATTAAAGTGGGCGTTCATGAGGGAGGAGGAAATGACCTCATTGCAGATTCAGGCACTTCTGCAAGTCAGAAGGAAAAGGCTAAGATTGCTCCATCTGGAAGGATATATGACTGCATAGTAGCAAGTAAGTTACTTGAAGTTGAAAGATTCAGCAAATTGTCCAGACTGATCAGAGTTACTGCTTGGGTGCGTCGAGCTGTGAAGAAGTGGCTGAAGATAAGAACTAAGACCTTGGGTTCATCAAAGTGGGAGGTAAAGTCTTTGGAAGAAAGAGTCAATGAAGCTATCTTGACGGTAAGAGAACAGGAGGATGCCCTTGAAGATCTCTTTCTAGCAGCCCAAGAGAATGTGATTTTTTCTGATACTACCCTCAGTAGGTTGGCAGTGTACAAGGATGAAAATTCTGGACTGTTTGTTTGTGGAGGAAGAATTCAAATCTTCAATGAGGATAAGACTGCAGTTCCAATCTTACCATATAATGCATATGTATCTACACTTCTGGCTCAGGAAGCTCATCAAGTAAACCATGAAGGAGTGGCTGGAACTTTGTTGAGAATGAGAAGAAAAGCTTGGATTATAAAAGGCCGCAGACTAGCTAAGAAATCCGTAGACTGCTGTGTGACCTGCAAGAAGGCAAGGTCGAAGCAATGCCAACAGATTATGGGAGACCTTCCACCAGAGCGGTCAGAACCAGCTGGACCATTTGAGTTTACAACCCTGGATTTGTTTGGACCTTATTGGGTAAAAGATGAAATAAAGATGAGGGTGAGACTCAAAGTTTGGGGAGTTGTCTTCTGTTGTATGGCATCAAGGGCTATCCATACTGATATTGTCAGTGACCAATCAACAGAAGGATTTCTGCTGGCATACCAAAGATTCACAGCTTTAAGAGGACATCCTAGGAAACTGTGGTCAGACTCAGGATCAAATTTTATCGGGGCCAAGCCTGTTCTTGAGGATCTTCATAAGTTCCTAGAGCGACAAGACAGAGAAAAGTTAGGAATTGAAGCAGCCAAGAAAGGTACGGAGTGGTCTTGGAAAATTCACCCGGCAGGTTCCCCTCACCGGAATGGTGCAGCAGAAGCGGCTGTCCGTTTAGTTAAGCGGGCCCTACTGAATCTAGGCTGTAACAAAGTTATGTCATGGGGGGAATTTCAAACTTTTCTTTACACGGCAAGCAATTTGGTCAATGAAAGACCTATTGATGCCAGGACACAAAGTCGAGAAGACTGTGTGGAATATGTAAGTCCAAACTCTATTCTCCTGGGTCGTACTGGGAGAAAGGGGGATCAAGGAAGTTTTGAGTTTGAAGGCTATCCATACAGAAGGCTAAGAATCATCCAGGAAGAAGTCAACAAATTCTGGAGAAGTTGGTGTCAGCTGGCAGGTCCTAACCTCTTTGTGAGAAACAAGTGGCATACTAAAGAGCGGAACGTTGCCGTGGGAGATGTGGTATGGGTGGCTGACCAGAATGCTCTAAGAGGTCAGTACAAGATGGCCAGAGTCGTCGATATAAATGCAGACAAGAAAGGAACCGTGAGAGATGTAATGGTCAGAGTATTCCCCAGCTATCCTGTCTCGATTGTTAAACCAAACCAAGCAGAAACCGGCAAGAATGTCAAACCAACAAAAAAGCATTGTGACAAAATTCCAGCTACGATTCTGCGTAGGGATGTGAGACGTTTGGTAGTTCTGATTCCCATTGAAGAACAGTAAAGACATTTCAGCTAAGAAGTGTGTGTGACCTCCTTCGGTCAGTTGACCAGGAGCTCAAGTGGGAGGTGTTAAGTTGAATTTGAGAGAAAGAAAAAAAAAAAAGGAAAAAAAAAGAGACATGGTTAAAAAGTATAAATTCATCATTGGTAAAGAAGATTTAAGATCAAAATGAGTGCAGCCTATTGGTTGGGAGCACATGGTGCAACCTGGGAGAATCAAGGTAGCTGATTGGTCATTGAAACTCCACATCTCCAAACTCCACCAGGTGTGTGTGATTACTGGGAGCAAGAGGGAACTTTGTTTGCAGCAAATGTGCTTCTCCTACTGAAGTTGGTGGGTTTGGTGTTCAAAATACCAAAGGAGAAAGACTGTTGAAAAGCCACAATGTTTCATCAACTTTGAGATGCAACTGGTAGGACAAAGACTTATTTTTATTTAATGACTACATATTTTGTGTATGTTTGAAAGGTGTTTAATGCTAGTAGTTTAGCATTTTACTTTCTAACTGCATAACAAGCTTCTTTATTTACATTGCTGTTGAGTTGCTGTGTAAATTGTGAATGTTTGACAATGGTGTTTGTACTTTTGTTGCACTTTGTAGTGACTCGTATCACATATCTGTTTCTGTGTAGGTTATTAAGCTAACCTTCTGGAATTATCATTGAGACAAGTACAAAAGAAGATCTAGTCAATGATGAGAGATTTTCAATAAACTGCTTCTATGATGAAGAACCAGATGGTTTGAGTTATTCCATGCACCTTCAGAGTTGATTGAGGCCTTTTTCAAGTTTGGGCAGACATTGAGGCAAAGAAAAACCCAGATAACTTGACACTCAATGAGAAACTCCGACAAGGTGAAGCTCTCCTTGCAAGGGCAGAGACTGAACTTAAAGAAAGAGATTCTAAGGCCAAGGCCTGCGAAAAACACTTGCAAGTGGCCCAAGCTACAATCCACAAGCTCATCCAGCAGAGACATGATCTCGAACACAAACTTTACACTGTTCACAGAGAGCTGAAAACACTCCTATAGACTGCAGATTGACCGGGAAGGGGAAATACACACCACAAAGTTTCCCCTGACCAGCCGGTCCGCATCTTTCAGCCAGAACCCAAGAGCTGTAAAGGGGGGTTAAAGCCCACCTTTCACAACATCACCAGCCAGTCCACAAGAACCCCCGGCAACAACGAGGGGGGAAGAGCCCTTTCAGAGAACCCCTGCCACTAACCATGGCATGGCTTACCTGCAAGACATTGACTTTCACTTACAAACTGTTACCAACCTGACCGCGTGGGACAGATTGTCAGAGGTGGGTAGAGTATCCAAAAACTGTACTCAAGTAAAAGTACAAGTACTTATAGAAATATTTACTCAAAGTAAAAGTAATAATCTTAAAAGTTACTTGAGTGAGAGTAAAAAAGTATCCAATGAAAAAACTACTCAAGTTGTTAGTTACTAGTTACTTTGGATCACATTTTTTGTGAGATTGTGGTTTTTTAACATCTACTCTTGTGTAATGGAAATCATTATGAACATCAACTATGCTAATTATTTTCCATCTGCCTTATGGCGTTCGTCAGCCCCAGTTTTGTATCCAGCCTCTCACGGAGACTTCAGATGCCCCAACGCCTGTGAAGAGACGACTCAGCGCCTGTGAAGAGACGACTCAGCGCCGACGATATGTTATGCCCTTAATATTACATGTTTAACTAAATTTATTTTTTCCATGTACTTTTCTGGAATGCACTTTCTGTAAAGCATGCTTTGAAACAATATGTATGTTGGCCAGAGGAGAACTGGCCCCAACTGAGCCTGGGTTCTCCCAAGATTTTTTCTCCATCCAATCACCTGATGGAGTTTTGGTTCCTTGCCACTGTTGCCTTGCTTTTGGCTTGCTTCGTTGGGGACATTTAATATTCAACAACATTATTGATCTGTGTTGTATTACTTTCATGTTATTACTGTGAAGCTGCTTTGATACAATCTGTATTGTAAAAAGCGCTATATAAATAAATGTGACTTGACTTGACTTGACTTCACTCGGAGACGATTTATTGCATGCAGGAAACTGAACAGATCATTCAAAATGATTTGCGAACCGATTTAGACGGATCTGCCCAGCTTGTTTGATGAAGTCTTTGAACAGAATCGACTCAATATGAGTGATTCATATGTGAATTGAGCATCAGTCATGCCCAGAAAAAAGAGAGAGCGCGCACTTAGAATAAACTACGCTTTTTGCATTAAAATAGAGTAACGAGAGGAACGTCCCCCAACGTAACAAAGTAAAAGTACAGTTTTTTCGTAAGAAATGTACTTGAGTTAAAGTAAAATTACCCACAAATAAACCTACTCTTAAAAGTAATTTTTTTCCAAAAAAATACTCGTAAAAAGTAAATGTAACGAAGTAAATGTACTTTGTTACTACCCACCTCTGCAGATAGTACCTGATAAAGATTAGGTCCAGTCGTGATATGCACAACTTCCTAGATTGTCAAACAGACACTGTCAAAATGGACTATCAGCTGCAACAAGCTTTGATCTGTGAATTCTCTGATCCAGAATCAGACCAAGGATTTATCACCGCCATGGACCTCAAGCAAGGCCGACTTGAAACTCCACAGACCTACAACGGTCGACTCCGACAAGCCTACTTCGGAGGACGGAACCAGCAAGGTATGGAAGAAGAAGTTAATTTCAATGTTCCTGCGAAATCTGCATCCCACAGTGAGTCATCACATAGGCATCCTGGCCTGCCCACGTAGCATGTCTACCCAAGAACTACGAGACTAGGCCCACAAAGCTTACGCCAAGCAAAAGACTGTGTCTAAAAGACACACCTAACCTGTCTCTAAGCACTACTTAGAGCTGCCTCTAGAGGGCTCCCCACAACACCACAAACACTTTTACAGAGAGTTAAGATCGTTCCAGGCCAGCAGCGGGCAGCACAAACGTGATGGTGCTCATCTAAAGCATCAGAGCAAGCGCTCTGAAAGATTCTGGAAGCCAGCCGGCAACCCAAAACGAGACGACCCCCATCACCAAGAACCCCAAGCCCAGAAAACCGGCCATGGAACCCCTCTCAACATGCCACTGACAAGCCCAAGTCTGATCCCACATCAGACAAAACCTATATGCCCCATCAGAGATGGCACGGATCCTGAAGGTGCTGAAACAGGCACCCAGAACACTGCTCGTCAGCATCACACCACCAGGCTGCCTTTCACATCACAGAGTGACAGCCATCACAGCCGACAGCTGCACAGCCTGAGCATGACAGCACAGTTTCCCACAACTGAGATCAAAGTCCCAAAACACCAGGAAACGCTGATTCAACTATCTGCCTCCACAGCGAACCACTCAAGACCGGCCCTAACCACCCATCGATCACCACACCAGCCCATCACCAAGACTTCTGGATAACCTGATCAAAAAGGGGGTGGCCTGTAAACTCTACCTAGCAATCACTGTGGACAATGATTTGAGCTTTGAAGCCCTGCTAAACAATGGCTCAGCATCACGCTAAGGTCAGCTCAACTCTTTGAAAGACTCAGTGCTAAAGCTAAGAGCCAAAATAGAACTTTTATGTCTCAAACATGCAAGCACAATATCCGGCTCAAACAGGTAGCTCCCATTCACCTAACAACTGGTCCAATGAGTCTGGTCAACCTGATGTACATCTCACAACTGAACACTTACCCACTTCTGATTGGCTAAGATCTGCTAAATTGCTTTGAGCCATTACTAAACTGCAAACAACTGCAAGTTTGAGCTCAAGTTCAAGAACCCCTCCCCCTCCAGTCACACAGGTCACCAGAACCAGACTGGCAGGTCACAGAGGTCATGAGAACTCCCGCAGAATCAGACTGTCACGGGAACTCCCACAGCAAGCAATGAAGATACAGACTCAGTACCAAATGGTTTGACTTCACTACCTTGCACCTTCCAGCTTACCAAAGACTATGACAAGCCAAAGAACACCATGAGAAACCACCTCTTATACCCCTCCAACCACCCACACAAGCTGTCTGCACCCACTGATCACCGGTGCCCCAGAAACCTGTAGTTCACCAAGCACATGCTGCGTGAACGGCTCAACACTCAGAGTTATGCATCTAGTGACATCACTGCGCCAAGACTTGTGGTGCCACAGTGCAAAAGAGGGGTCATGCTAGTGTATGCTCATGACGCACCATGTGCTGCACACCGCAGCACCACAACACCGAAGCAAGTGGCATACCGGCATCCTCGAAGCGAAAAGAATGTCCTAGTCAACCAAGGACAACACTCGATGAGATCTTTCCTCCCTTTCTCTCTCCCCTTTGTTTTTTCCAGGATGCTGCTATGGTTCGTCTTCCTGTGCCTCCAGCCAACTAGAGAACAGCCGCAGTTGGTCATCTCACCAGGGCCGGCATCAGGCAGCGTCCCGAAGGAACAACTGGGACTCCTGATCACCAACTGCAGGACCCACACCCAGTGTATGTTCGACTCGACGCTGAGGCCGATGTCGAACACATGCTCAAACAACTTGTGAAAAGGACTGTCACACAAGCGGAACCGCCGCTCCAAACGGTTCCTGGGAGCTAGGTGGACACAACCGCTGCTGCCGTCAGAACTCTGTCCAGTGGCGACGCAGTGAACCCAGCCACCGTGAGACGACCATCAACAAGTAACTGAAGGGAACTGTGTTAATTCTCAACACCCACAGCGTTCTGCTGAACCAGACAGTGAGACAGCTCCATGAGACAGCTGTTTACTGTCTCCCAGAATGACTTTGCTCAAACTCAGCTGGTCTGCAGCCTCAGACCCAAGACACATGCTGCCCTGCTGAGACCAACCCTGAATCAAATCCCGTCCTTTTTCAAGAAACACAATTTCACCCTAACTCCAGAACTGTAATTGTGGACTACAAAAAGGGGGATCCCAGCTAGTTGACATTGCTTCTATCGACACAGCCCTCCAAACTTTGTCTCAACTGCCCATCTTAACTACCTCACCTGTTGTCTAATCCTGGACTACAGCTGATTAAGCGCTGGGTACCTCTACGGTAATCAACTACACCCTGACACTGGGCTTGGCCTTCATCCTGTACAGGAGGCTCAACGAGATACAAACATCTTCAGCCAAGCTCACAAAACACTCAGAAAGAGGGTGCCATGCCAGAGGCCGCTTGAACCTCACGAAGCTGAGCACTCAGCACTAATAGCCACCTGCTACCAGACCATCATGATTCACCTGTCATCCGACCATGGTGACGATTGTCGTCCGATGATGTCCACACAGGGACTTCATCGGAGGAAGGGGGGTCTGTATAGAATCTTTAAAGGATGCTGGCGCTCCTCCGCTTGCTCTCTTCTTCCTGTCCTCGGACCTCCTGCTTCATGATGTAACTTTCCTCTCCGTGTTTGTTCGTTATCCCCATGTAACCTTAGTAATTGTATACTTAGTCTGCCTTTATTAAATTCATTTATATTCATTGACTGATTCATGTCTCTTGCTCATATACCGGTCACTAAAATGTACGATCTTGGCTACGAAGCTTTAAAAGTATAAAAGTACTTTAACTAACGTTAGCAGGCTATCTTTGTGAAAACAGGAAGGTTAGTTCATGGCCATAAATTCCCTTTCCTGTCTCTGAAATTATTTCTGTATGAGAATCGATAATGATTGCATGATTGGGCGTCGGAGTAAACATATGATAGACAAGAATTGACATTAATATTTAATTATAATCCGTTCTGATTAAATATTGATATACAATTGAGCTAATGTTTACCTCTCTGCAAAACGTGCATGCAATTAA